TTAGTGATGAGTCCTAGGATAGTAGTATCGTCAGCAAATTTGAGGATGATGTTGGAGCTATGCTTAGCAGAGCATTCGTAAGTGAACAGGGAGTACAAGAGAGGACTGAGTACACATCCCTGTGGGGCACCAGTGCTGAGTGTGAGTGAGGAGGATGTGTGGTTGCCAATTCTAACCACCTGGGAGTGTGTACGTGTGAGAGTGAGTGAGTGAGTGAGTGTGTATGTGTGTGTTTGTGTGTCAGTGTGTATGTGTGAGTGAGTGAGTGTGTGTGTGTGTGTGTGTGTGTGTGAGTGAGTGTGTATGTGTGAGTGTGTGTGTGTGTGTTCAGATGACTGACTGCATCTCTCTCTCTGCAGGACTCCTGCTGCAAACACTGAAGACACTCAGAGCACTAAAGCAAAGACGAGCTGCTGCAGGAAAGCACTGGAGATGTGAGTAAAGAGCTGCATGTGCTGAAGCTCTTCCAGTCATCAGTAACTGACCTCAGTCTCTCTCCTTCACACAGCAAACCAAAGGAAACAAGTGCAGCAAAAACAGGTGAGAGAACCACGTCGTTTCTGAACATTGTTATTTGTGTTATTTCCCAAGCTTTATGTCTGTCAGTTCCTGCTAAAATGGTCTTAAACCGAAGCAATGCAGTTCCATAAATCAAACTATTTTATAAATTGGTCAGTGCAGTGTTCCAAAAATCAATTAATAAAAAATCAATTAATAAAAATAATAAAATCAAATCAAATTACTTGAAATTAAATAAAATATACAAAATATTTTTTCCCAGAAAGTTGCCAAAGGTAACATTTCTCATTTTCATTTAGTTTAACTTGAAGTACTAAAATAACTAAACTAAAACTGAAATAAAAATGATTAAAAAACAATATAGAAATATATATAAAAAGTTAAAATAAATAAATATATATATATATTAAAGCTACTTTTTTGTAATATATATTCAATGCTTTTCTCATGTAACACAATAATGAGCCCAAATTGGGATTCATTTGAGATTAATTTGATCAATCACTTCATGTAATTAATGAGATTAAACATTTGAATCGCTTGAAACTTTAAAATTAAAACAGAAAATATAAAAAATTCAAAATATTAATAAAAACAGGAATATAATGTCAATGATTCTAAAATAAGCCTGGTTTAATGAGTAGATGTACATGAACATGCACTAGACGTACAACGACAATTAACATTTACATTTTTACATTTTAATATTGAATATATATTGTGTACTACAAATATTGTCAGACAGAATGCTTTGTTCCTCTTTTGTAAGTCACTTTGAATAAAAGCTTCTGCTAATGCATAAATGTAATATAATATTTCATATAATAGTTTTTTTTATGTGGTAACCATTGTATAATAGCAGTAAGGCATTTGTGGATACAGTTCGCATTAATTGCTTCACACGTCCTCTGTATTTCTGTGCTTTAGGCTCCAGACGAGTCTCTCACTGCAAAGGTAGGTCTGATGCCAAACCGTTAGATGATTGATGATTATTCAGTTTTATGCATTTAAAATATATTTCATGAATTTTAAGAACATTTCCAATAAATTCTCATCAACTTAACACAAAATAGTTATTATTAGAATTGTAAAGTTTTCATATAACATGGTAAGAAGTTTTTGTGTTTTTCTGTGTGCCTTTAATTCATTCCTGTTGTACATGAGCTGTATTTCAGTACACATTTCCCCCGTTTTTATTATTTATTTGTGGTGACATTCACCCATTCCTCTTGAATAACAGAGGTCCATATCACTGTAAAAAATTAACGTTAAAAGACTGTAAAAATGCTACAGTAAAAACCTGTTAAATGGTTAACGGTAAATTCCTCTACTATATACGGTGAAAAACTGTATCGGACATTACATGTAATTTTACAGTAGTATACCGTTTTTGGAAGTGAAAAAGTCAAATTTACAGTGAATAACCGTAAATTGACATTCCCAGAATTCCCTGCGTTACATTTCAAATTTGATGTTTTTTTGTTGAAATAACTATGTTTCTTCTTAGTTTTTTCTTATCAGTTTTGTATATCAGGGTTGTGTGTCACACCTGATGTTGATAAATGAATGTTTATTGCATGATTTGTTTCACGTGTGTTACGGTGTTTAGTGAGTGTGTGAATGACGCTGTGCAGCTTCTATATATGTTAGTATTTAAAAGCTGCTTTGGTTCATCGCGTGACTTTCTCATCACCTCCTGCATTTGGTGGTTATCAGTGTATTACGAAGCTACAAAACAGCTTTCAGTACTTCAATAGGTTAGTATAGTAACATTATATCAGTTAATGAAATTACGGTATTTAACTGTAAATTTAAGTTAAAACCGTAAAACCTATAACATTGCTACCGTATTTTTTTCACAGCTGCCGTTTTTTTTACCGTAAATTTTACAGAGTTTTTTTGACAGTGTATAGAGCAGATGATGTTTTAATGATCATGTGTCTCTTAATGTTTTCTCTCTCTCTCTCTGTGTTTATTGGTCCTCGTCCTCATCTGCCCCCTTCACTTAGTGACTCTGCAGATCTCTCTGTCCGGAAGGACTGGGTCAGCTGAATCCGCAGTCAAAGCATTCGTCCAGAAGCCCTCGCTCCGGGACGCCCCGAAACACAAGAGTCCCATCAAATCCCCCAGTCAATACTTCCAGATCTGTTACTGAAGAGCCGGCTCTCACACATTAGTGATCACTTTCTGGAGAACTGAAGAAGTGCAGATGCACACCAGAACACGGGCTCGCTGCAGGAAGCCTTGCTATGGACGCAGTGTATTTTAGTTAAAAACGTCTTAATGCTGGGTTTGTTCTTAGTTGTATTTGGTGCCGAATTAAAGCAAATCAGATTCATATGGTGTTTCTAATTCTATAATCATCTACTGCTGTGACGAATGTTAAATAAGATGACACTGAGACACTGAAAAAGCACTTTTCTTGACGAACAGATTCATCCACAAATGATCAAAACCCAAACGGACTGAAATCTGGTGTTCAGGTTGAGTGATCTCGTGTGATTGCATGTAAACTCATTTAGAAAATACCCCATCATATATATATATATAGACAGTACTGTGCAGAAGTCTTCTCCGTTAGTATTTTCACCTGCACACAGTACTGTGTATATATATATATATAATGTGTAGGAATTTTTCACAGATGTTTTACCCTTATTTTGAAAATACCAGTATATTTTAATATTATATATATATATATATAGAGAGAGAGAGAGAGAGAGAGTCAATATCACAAATAAAGAATAATTTTT